TACCGCTGGTTCCTGCAGCACCGGCCCCAGGTCGGCTACATCAGGTGAGGCTCAGGGCAGGACCATTCCCACCATTCCCACCGGGACAATCAGCCCCAGGGAGCCCCAGGACGGGTCTGGAGGGGAGCTCACCCACGGCCAGGCACACCCAGGGACGGAGCAGCCCTGAGGCCGGGGAGCTCCTGCCACTCCCTGCCTTGTTCCCCTCCAGGGCTCGGTTCTACGAGGGCCCCGAGGTCGTGGCAGACACCGGAGTTGTCCTGGACACCACCATGAGAGGGGGACGCCTCGGGGTCTTCTGCTTCTCCCAGGAGAACATCATCTGGTCCAACCTCCGCTACCGCTGCAACGGTGAGTTGGGAGAGGCAGACTGGGAATTCTCCATTTTCCAGTCGTGGACACCTGCACAGCCACGGGACCAGGGCAGCAAACAGGACACGAGCCTGCTTCTCCCTGCTGTTCCTGCCCCTGATCTCTGTTTGCTTTAACCTCAGACACCATCCCAGAGGACTACGAGACGTTCCGGTTCCAGCAGGACTAATCCCGGGAGCGTCCCGCAGCCGTCCTGCCCCCGCCCACTCCCGCTCTGGAATCCTGCCCCAAGAGCTGTCAGCACCTCCCAGCGCGCCCTCGCAGCCTCCAGCTCCCCTTCCCCAGCAGCAAATCCCTGACAGTGTTACACAAACCCTCTGGGAAGGGCAGAGGTGGAGACAGGGAGTGTGAGCAGAAGCCCGAGCTGCTGCAAGCCGCAGCTCCCCGCAGCAGCTGGGATGGTTGGAGTTCGTTCGGCGTGGATGAGTCCCAGGAATCTTCTCCCTGCTCCCAGGCTCCCGAGTGTCAATGTTGTTTTCCTTTTCAAGACCTGCTGCAAAGCAAACTCAGCACGAGTCTGAGAGGGACACGTGGAGCAGCCTCGGTACAAGTTGCTCATTTTAATAAATGAAAAAGCACTTTAAGGAGAGTATCTTTGTTCTGGAATGTTGGAAAGAAACACTTGGAATGCTGGATAATAAATTCTAGATTTCTCCTTGTTCATGTGTGGTTCTCTCCACTCTTCTGAAGCTTTTCCCTTGCAGATGTGGAAGGGAGGAACCCTCCAGGGCTGAGCTCAGTGGGGCTGATTGGGAATTTTCTTGGAAATGCCAATGCATGGAGGCACCTTTTCCTGAAGAGCCTCCCTCTCCCCAGCCCTGCCCTGCCCGCTCCTTGCTGGAACAACAATTAAAACGTCTCCCTTTTTCCCACAGGATTCTCTCCCTTTTTTTCCCACAGGATTCTCTCCCTTTTCCCCCACAAGATTCTCTCCCTTTTTTCCACGCTTTTCCCATCCCACCCCTCCACCCCTGAAGACAAGAGCCAGCGGATTTTACCCCTTCAGGCCTTTATTTTGATAAAATTGGTCAAGCCCACATAAGGCAACGCACACACGGCTCCGCCCGCCCCCCGCCCGCCCCAACCGCCTCGGAAAATAAATAACACAAACCAAGAGGACTCCATGTAGTGTTTGGCTTTGCAGTATAGAAATTCCACACAATGATTCTGTTGTGTTGTTTTTGTTTTTTTTTTTTTTTTTTGTTTTGTTGGGGTTTTTTTTCCCTGTTTAAAAAGGTAAAAATGATTTATAATACACAGTCAGAATGTCGTGGTGCCCGCATAGAAAACCGACATGCAATCCATGCCTACACTGCGCCGTATAAATAAGATGCAACTCAAAATACAAAGAACAGGAACACTACAAAGTTTAATTCTAAGAGGGAGGGAGGTTTTTTTGGGTTTTTTTTCTCTTTCCTGGTTGTTTTTTAAAAAGGACAGACACACGTAACAAAGGCTACCTGCGCTTTCACATTGCCATCACAGTGACGGGGGGGCTGTTGCTCCGAGGAATAAACGCGCTGGTTTTGGGGTTTCTCCCGAAAAAAACAGCCAAGGTCGGGATCTGCGGGGGAGGAGGGGCCTTCCTGCTTCCTTCCTGTCCAGAGGGGGTTGCCAGGGTCTTTCCTTAGGGGAATTAAGGAAATGAAGCTCAAGCCTTAATTGTTGTTTTGGCAGAAATCCACGGTTTTAGGTTTGTTTTTGAGGGAAATTTAGGTAAACTGCTTTTAGGTAAACTCAGGGCAGCTTTTGCTCCTGGAATCATGGAATTGAGGTTGGGAAAGAGCCACTGCATCAGGGTTGGAAAAGAATCATTGAATTAAGGCTGGAAAAGAACCTGAATCAAGTTTGGAAAAGAATCACCAAATCAGGGTTGGAAAAGAACGACCAAATCCAAGTGGGAGAAGAAAAACCAAATTAAGGTCGGAAAAGAATTCCGGAAGCAAGGTTGGGAAGGAACAACCAAATCAAGGTTGGAAAAGACCTCCAGGACCATGGAACCCAACCTCCCTCTGAGCTGAAGGTTCACCATGAGCGCTCCTAAAATAATTCACCAAATAATCCACGAAACCCCCGCGGAGGCCGCGAGCGCCCGACGGCTCCGAGGAGCCTCGCGGCCCTTTCTGGAAAGGTTTTCCCCTCTGGAAAATGAGAAATCAGCCCGGGGGGGCAGAGCCCAGCCCCGGCCGTGCGGGGGGCACAGGGGGGGCTGGCAAGCGCTCCCTGCCATGCAGAAGCCGTGGGAGCCGGGCATGCCCAGGGGGGGTCTATGTACAGGGAAAGGAGCCCCCCGCGCCAGGGCTGGGCTGGCTGCTGGAAAAAATCACAGTTTTGGATGCACCGAGGGTTTATTCCTGCTCTTCCCCATTGTATTGGCAAATGCAACAGTCTAGCTTGGGAATTGGGGGTTAATTCCTTGTGGAGATAGAAAAACACGAGGGAGGGAGGGAGGGAGGGAGGGGGGATAGGAGGGAGGGTGGGACAGTCACCCCTGGAGACACCAGACAGCTTCACCACCACGGAAATCAATTTAGCAATAATAGCAATTAACACCACTTTCTCCTTGAATTATTTTTTTTGCTAAGTGATGGTTTTCCCTTTCTGCTCCCACCCGTGGGGAGGGAGCCCCAGACACTGAAATGAGCACAGGGCTGCTCCATTTGGAAGAAAAGCAGATTATTTGTTCTGGGAACACTTGGGATCCACTCCATGCTTTGCTCTGGGTTTGCTTCCAGACCAGCCTGATGCCACAAGAAGTGGAGTTTGGAGGGGTGAGAAAGGGGGAATCCTCTGGGGCAGCTCCCCCGTGAAAGGCTCCCCTGGGGAAGGGAAAGGCAGGAGCTGCTGCAATCCTGGATCCCCAGGGTCGGGATGAGAGCAGCTCCTCCCTGGCCACAGCTGGAGCCCATCCTGTCACCCCACATTCCCCGGGGACACCCCTGCTCCTGCCCCTCCCGAGGGGTTCAGCCTGGATCTCCCCCAGCTGGAGGGTCCCTGACTGTGACAGCTGCATCCAAGGTGTGTTAGTTTGGAATTAAGGCGATTTTCAAGGTCTACTTACAAGTCTAAGAAACGAAGAGCTCTTATTTACACAGGGAGCTAAGAACCAGCCAGGGCTCCCTGCCGTGGTGACACCACAGCACAGACAGGGAGTGCCCCCGCACGGAGCCCTCGGGGAGAGCAGCACAACCCCGCCAGGAGCTGCACAAAGCTCCCGCTGCCCCTCCAGCCAGGGCTCCCAGGCACCCGGCCCAAATCCCTCCTGCTTTTTCCAGGCTTCCTCCTGTCTGAGCTGCCTTTTTTCTCCTCCTTAAACTGAAAAAGCGTGAGGGGTCTGACAGAAGCAGCCACCAGGAGGGGATGTGTCCTACCGAGCTCAAACCCTGCCAAAAAAATCCCAAAACGTTCCCAAGAGATGCAGGGAAACCTCTGGAGGGCGTGGAGAAGGAGAAAATGAAAACAAAACAAAACAAAAAAACAACGAAGAAATAAAAAAAGACACAGGGAAGCCAAGAAAAAATTCCACATTTTTAGTGCAAATGGTCAACAAATGGCACAGAAGGTGAGGGGACCCCGGGCTGGGGAGACCCCGAGCCTGCCCCGCTCCCGAGCAGCGCAGCCAGCAGGGCAGCCCGCATTTCTGGCAGCACACAGAAACGTGGTATAACTCATCAGAACCCAGCACAGAGCAGCCGCTAATTGCAGGGGGAACTCGTTAAGAGCCCTTCCCAAAGAGGAGAAGGTTTGGGGCTGGGAGTGCCAGGATTGGGAATTCCCTGGGCTGGAGGCAGAAGGAAAATCCAGGAGGGGCAGGAGGGGGAACAGAGCCCGGGAGGGAGAACAAAACCCGGGTGGGAGAACAAAGCACAGGAGGGTGAACAAAACCCAGCTGCTGGGACTGGGACTGGGACTGGGACTGGGAATGGGAATGGGACTGGGGACTGGGAATGGGACTGGGAATGGGAACTGGGAATGGGAATGGGACTGGGACTGGGACTGGGAATGGGAATGGGACTGGGAACTGGGACTGGGAACTGGAACTGGGACTGGGAATGGGACTGGGAATGGGACTGGGACTGGGAACTGGGACTGGGAACTGGAACTGGAACTGGGACTGGGAATGGGACTGGGACTGGGAATGGGAACTGGGACTGGGAATGGGGACTGGGAATGGGGACTGGGAATGGGGACTGGGAACTGGAAATGGGGACTGGGAATGGGGACTGGGACTGGGAAATGGAACTGGGAACTGGGAACTGAGACTGGGAACTGGGACTGGGAACTGGGACTGGGAACTGGAACTGGGACTGGCACTGGGAGGGGATTTTGGGCCTGGAGTGCCCCAGGCTGCTCCCAGCCCAGGCTGGAGGCGCCTCCCTCTCCAGGAGCAGCTCAGCCTCGGGGTGAGTTAATTAGTGAATTAGTGAATGGCTCCAAATCCTGTTAATTGCTGCTCTCCCCTGCAGATCCCAGTGCAACGAGGATGCTCCAGCAGTGCCCTGGAATTCCTTCATTCCCAGAAATGTGGGAATCATTCCCTCCAGCCAGAGCAAAACCCCCAGTTCCCAGGATGCGGAATCTGGGATTTTTTTTTTTTAATTTGCAGCACAAAATATTCACAAGGACGATCAGAAATAATCAATTCTCCATTTAATTAAACAGAATTTTGGAGGATTCAATCCTGGCCATTGTGGAGCAAGAGATTTTTTTTTTCCCCCGGGTGAATGAAGGAATTTTTAAGTTCCAACCACCCTATTTTGCCTTTCCAAAGGAAAATATCTAAACTTGCCTTGGGCTTCCATATTCCTGCTTAACATCTGTGTAAAATTCCAGTTAGTTTAAAAATACCTACATATATAATATATATATATATAATATATTTCTGGAATAAAACCACAAAAAAAATGTACTGTACAAATATTATGTAGAGTGCTTCCATTGGCTGTATGTAGTTGAGCTACTTTCCTAATATCCAAATATTTAAATAAAATTAAAAAAAAATAAATGACAACAACAACAACCAAAAAAATCATAAATAAGTAACAGAATAAGTAATGAATAAGAATAAAAAATTAAAAAATCATGATTCTACGAGCCTGGCATCGCTATGGAAATGCCCTTCCTGTTGCCCAGGAATCTCTCACAAAGTAAAAATTAGGATTATGCAGGTTAGTCTCTATTTTTTTAGCTGCTTTAAGATGTTCTGATCCTGTGTCTAATCCAGTAATGAATTATAGAACTTTCATGTGTGCTCAGAAATGCTCTCTATATATGCAGCCATATATAGAAACAGATATATATTACACATATATTTTTTTTAAAAAGACAAAACAAAACAAACCATAAAAAGCTTAGAAAACAATAGTGTTGAAGGTGGATTGGGGGCCTGGTGGCCGTGCCGGGACTGCCGGGGAGGAGGGAGGGGCACGGGCCGGGACACGCCTGGGGAGCAGCAGGGAGCAGCAGGGACGCAGTGGCACGGGCGGTGCCAGCTGCAGGGCACGGTGCACGGCCGGGGTTGGCTCCCGAGGGGCAGGGCCCCCCCAGCCCCCTCAGCCCCCCCCCGGGCAGTGCCAGCCCCCCCCTCGCCCTGTGACTGCCCCCAGCCCCTCCCTGGGGCACAGGACAGGGACAAGGTCCCACCGGGCCAAGGGGCTCTGCAGAGGGAAAGGCCGACGGCAAACCGGGAAAACCACCGGGACAAACCGGGAAAACCACCGGGACAAACCGGGAAAACCACCGGGACAAACCGGGACAAACCGGACGAGTCCTGACTGCTGGACGGCAACGAGCGGCTCGGGGCGACGCGGCGGGGACGGGCTCGGCAGCGCGGCAAGCTCGGACAACAAGCTCTGGTTACTGATTGTACAGGGGCACGAGAGCTGCTCCCCGGGCTGGGATGGACCCTCCAGGACGGACCCTCCAGGGTGGGATGGAGCTCCAGGGTGGGATGGACCCTCCAGGACGGACCCTCCAGGATGGACCCTCCGGGCTGGAATGGAGCTCCAGGATGGAATGGCCCCTCCAGGATGGACCCTTCAGGGTGGGATGGACCTTTCAGGATGGACCCTTCAGGATAGATCCTCCAGGATGGTACAGACCCTCCAGGATGGGATGGAGCTCCAGGAAAGGATGCAGCTCCAGGAAGGGATACAGCCTCAGGATGGGATACAGCTCCAGGAGGGGTGCAGCCCCAGGAGGGCACAGAGCCCCAGGAGGGGCAGCTCCAGAAGGGGATACAGCCCCAGGAGGGCACAGAGCCCCAGGAGGGGCAGCCCCAGGAGGGCACAGAGCCCCAGGAGGGGCAGCCCGGGCGGGCCCCGCGGCTCACAGCCGGTCCATGCGGAACGTGTCCTCTGTGGCGGGGTCGGTGAGGACCATGTCGGGGTCGTTGAGCATGTGCAGTCCATCCAGGGTCAGAGGGTCAATTTTGAGTTCATCCAGAGGGAACTGGGAATCCGTGTCGAAGCTGACGTCCCCCACTCCTGCCAAGGAGCTGGTCAGTTCTTTTGATAAGCTGGGGGGGGATTCTCCTGTCACTGCAGGGGACAAAACACACAGGGCTCAAACACCAGCGTGGAAGTCAGGAAACAGCTCCCAAAAACCCTGGAAACGTTTGTGGAGCTCTCAGATGAGGAACATCCACTCTCCTGCAGATTTCAGGGTCCTCACAGCACCTCTAAGGCACCAAACACAACCCAAAATTCGTGTCTGGTGTGACTGGAGCCTTTTCTCTCCCTCAGCTTCAGGAGGAGTAACCTCAATTTCCACCATTCCCATCAGCAATCCCTGGCTGCAGGCACAGGATCCCAGGCAGGGATTGTTTCCAAAATCCCACTGTGAGCAGATTGGCCACCATATGTGACACTCCAAGCCCGTGCTGGCCAGGGAAGGAGCTTGGCTGCCACAGCTTTGCCTCACTGCAGCAGAGGATCCAGGGAATTCAGAGGCAGGAAAAATGCAGAGGAAAACTGGGGCTCCACCTGTGTGCAGGTGAGCACTGGGACACACACCTGGACTGGAGTTAGGAATGGCTGAAGGGAGGGGACACTGACTCCAATGTCAGAAGACTGTTGGGGCTGTCCCCCTGTCCCCAGGGGTCAGGTACCTGTCAGGATGATGTTGGGGCTGTCCCAGGGGGTTTCAGGACAATGATGGGGCTGTCCCCAGGGCTCAGGTACCTGTCAGGACAATGCTGGGGCTGTCCCCACGGGCTCAGGTACCTGTCAGGATGATGTTGGGGCTGTCCCAGGGGGTTCAGGACAATGCTGGGGCTGTCCCCAGGGCTCAGGTACCTGTCAGGATGATGTTGGGGCTGTCCCAGGGGGTTCAGGACAATGCTGGGGCTGTCTGGGGCTCTCAGGTACCTGTCAGGATGATGTTGGGGCTGTCCCCAGGGCTCAGGTACCTGTCAGCACAATGCTGGGGCTGTCCCAGGGGGTTCAGGATGATGTTGGGGCTGTCCCCAGGTCAGGACGATGTTGGGGCTGTCCCAGGGGGTTCAGGACAATGCTGGGGCTGTCCCCAGGGCTCAGGTACCTGTCAGGATGATGTTGGGGATGTTGCCGTGGCTGGAGTAGCCCAGCTGCTGCGAGTCCTGCAGGCTGCCGTGGCTGCCCGTCAGTCCCATCATGGCAGCCTGCGAGTAGTTGAGGGTGGAGCAGGGGCTGTACAGGCTGTTGGAGCTGATGGCGTTCTCGATCATGTTGAACTGCTCCAGCTGCAGGGCGACACCACAGGGGTTAGCTGCCAGCAGGACAGGGCCACGGGCACACGGACACGGCTCCAGGACACACGGACAGGCAAACAAATTCATCTTTCCTTGCTCAAAAAGGGGCTGCGAGCCCCGAGCTGCACGGGACAGTCCCTGCCCAATTCGGGAGAGGGAGGCACCAAACTGGGGGCAAGGACAGAAAAGGGAGGGTGGAGAGGGAAAAAGGGAATCCAGGGCAGCCCCGGGGTCTCTGCCCAGCAGAATTCCTGCCAGGATTCATCCCACTTTAAGTATTTAATAATTGAATTATTTGAATTCCAGAATTCAATTCATCCATGCTCTGGTGGAGGGTGGAGAGGGGAAAAGGGAATCCAGGGCAGCCCCGAGGTCTCTGCCCAGCAGAATTCCTGCCAGGATTCATCCCACTTTAAGAATTCCATCATTTAATTAATTTAATTCAATCATTTAATTGATCCATGCTCGGGGTGGCCAAACCAAGGGAGGGACTGGTTATTCCCAGATGAAACCAGCCATGGATTATTCCCAGATTCCTACAAGGGAATCCTTCCCAACTGCAACTGCAGCCAGAAACTCCAGCTTGAAATATTGAATTATTTTTACTCCGCAAGGCATGCCCATGATGTTTCCTTTTAAAAGCTTCATGATTATATTTTTTTAATTGATCTCCAATTTTTAAAGCTTCATTTTAATATATATATTTTTATTGATTTCCCATTTTAAAAGCGTCATTATCATACATTTTTAAATTGATCTCCCATTTTAAAAGCTTGATTATTATTTACTTTTTAATTGATCTCCAATTCTAAAAGCTTCATTATAATATTTTTAATTGATCTCCGATTTTAAAAGCTTCATTATTATACATTTTTAATTGATCTCCCATTTTAAAAGCTTCATGATTATATATTTTAATTGATCTCCAATTTTATACGCTTCATTATTATATATTTTAATTGATCTCCCATAAAAATTAATTATTATATATTTTAATTGCTCTCCCATTAAAAAAAATTAATTATTACATATATTTTTAATTGATCTCCCATTTTTTGGCAGAACCTGCGTGGGACGGGGAGAACAAAGAGTAAGGAGGGGGTGGGAGGGAAACCAAACAAAACAAGAAACAAACAAAAAGCAGGAGAACTCTACATGGACGAAACGGGGACGTGACGTAAATTAATCAGGAGTTAATTGGGATTAATTTGAGGCGGGGGGGCCGAGGAGGCCCGAGATGAATTTGCTCACCTGGTGGGAGAGGGCATTAGCCTGCCTAGCTGTCATCTGCTGCTCATAATAGGAGTCCCCAAAAACACTGCCCAGCATGGAAGAATGCTGAAACAAAACAGAGGCTTCATGGTGCACAACCCCCAGAGCCCGGCCGGCCGGCCCGCGGGCAGCGGGACAGCGGGAACCCGGAGTGCTGGGAGATCGGGAATGCCGAGAAATCTGGGAATGCCAGAGAAACCCAGAGTGCTGGGAAATCTGGGGATTCCAGAGAAACCTGGGGATTCCAGAGAAACCTGGGGATTCCAGAGAAACCTGGGGATTCCAGAGAAACCTGGGGATTCCAGAGAAACCTGGGGATTCCAGAGAAACCTGGGGATTCCAGAGAAACCTGGGGATTCCAGAGAAACCTGGGGATTCCAGAGAAACCTGGGAACGCCAGGAAACCCGGAGTGCTGGGAAATCGGGAATGCCGAGAAATCTGGGAATGCCAGAGAAACCAGGAGTGCCGGGAGATCGGGAATGCCAGAGAAACCCGGAGTGCTGGGAAATTGGGAATGCTGAGAAATCTGGGGATTCCAGAGAAACCTGGGGATTCCAGAGAAACCTGGGAACGCCGGGAAACCCGGAGTGCTGGGAAATCTGGGAACGCCGGGAAATCTGGGAATGCCGGGAAACCCGGAGTGCTGGGAAATCTGGGGATTCCAGAGAAACCCGGAGTGCTGGGAAATCTGGGGATTCCAGAGAAACCCAGAGTGCCAGGAAATCTGGGAATGCTGAGAAATCTGGGGATTATGGAGAAAAAACCAGAGTGCCAGAGAAATCTGGGAATTCCAGAGAAATCCAGGAATTCTACAGAAATCGGCACAGAGTGGGCGGGAATCACCCGGGGCCCTCACGGGGCCCTCACGGGGGCCCAGGGGATCCACAGGACCCAGGGGATACCACAGGATCCCTCAGGATCCCACAGGGAGCAGGAATGAATCCCACAGGATCCCTCAGGATCCCACAGGGAGCAGGAATGAATCCCACAGGATCCCTCAGGATCCACACTGAGCAGGAATGAATCCCACAGGATCCCTCAGGATCCCACAGGGAGCAGGAATGAATCCCACAGGATCCCTCAGGATCCACACTGAGCAGGAATGAATCCCACAGGATCCCTCAGGATCCCACAGGGAGCAGGAATGAATCCCACAGGATCCCTCAGGATCCACACGGAGCAGGAGGGGATCCCACAGGGCCCAGGGGATCCGTCAGGGCCCAGGGGATCCCTCAGGATCCCACACGGAACAGGCGGGAATTCCTCCAGACCCCGAGGATCCCAGAGGATCCCAACAGGGCCCAGAGAATGCCAGAGGGTCCCCCAGGATCCTCATGGAGCAGGAGGGAATCCCACAGGACCCCACAGGACCCTCATGGGGCAGGAATGAATCCCACAGGACCCCACAGGATCCACAGGGAACAGGAGGGAATCCCACAGGACCCCACAGGACCCTCATGGGGCAGGAGGAACCCTCAGGACCAGGAAGATCCCACAGGACCCTCACAGGGCAGGAATGAATCCCACAGGACCCCAAAGGCCTCTCCCTGAGCACGAGATGGAGAACTGGGATTTCCCCACACTGCGCTGGGCAGGGACAGAAGCACAATTTCTGCTTTTGGGGATTTTGTGGGATTTGGTGGCATTTCCCCCCTCTGAGGCAGGAGGGGCTGCTCTGGCTCTGGGTCTGCAGCCCCAAAAGGCAAAATTCCTGATTTAAATCATTCCAAGGTTGCTGCAGAGCAGGAAAGGTCAGGGGAAGCTCAGTGAGAATTCCAGGAGGAATTCCTCAGCCTTGCTACATCGCTGTCCAGTCCCTCAGTTATTCTCCATCGTTTATCAATTACTCTAAAGGTGACCAAGAATTTCAGGTCCGTGTTTTAATCCTGATCAAAAATGCCAGACAAAAACCAGCAACATCACTCCCGATTTCAAATTCTAAATTCTGATATTCCAGCTGACAATAAAAACCAATTACTGACAAAGAGAACATCTCTAAAAGGCAATTTCCATGGAGTGGTTGTCTCAATCTTGGAAAACAAAATTCAGTTGCTGGTTTATGCACATGGCAAAAGCAGAAGGCCAGAAATTTCAACCTTAAAAACCTAAGCATGGGAAACTCAGCAGAAGTTTAGGAAGAATCAGAATGGGCACGGGTTTTAGACCCTAAAAAAAACCACCTTGTATGAAAAACTAATTCAAAAATCACCCGAACTGCCCCTTGGCTGAGCAGATCCTGCTCTGAGCTGGGATGGTCTGGATGCACTTGGAGGAGAGATTTGGGATTCCCTGTCCTGAGCATCCATGGGCTGCCACAGCCAGCCCACCCAACAACCCCTGCCCCGTGTGCAGCCAGAACTGAAATTTCCAATTCAATTCCAATTTATCACCTGATCATCAACACTCCCGAGCTGCTGGACCCCAGGAAAAAGGGATCAAACACCAGGAGGATCAAACACCACAAGAGCCACTGCTAAGATGCTGGTAAGAGAAAAGCAAGGCACCCAACCAACCCAAATCCAATCTGGTTTTTTAACCAACCTAAATCCGGTCCAACCTATTGTTTACAACCATTTCCAAGGAAAATCTGAATTCTGGGATGGCACAGACTTGACAGGAAGCAAAACCAACACTAAAATCCAATGGATATTTGAGAGCTCCAAAGAGGATCAAGGAATTTTGTCCCTTTCACTCCTGTGGTTTCATTCCACAGAACAGGAATGAGAGGACAATTCCCAAAATGAGGACAATCCCAAAAATCTCTGTGTTTCACCAAGCACTGTTTCCATCCCAATAAACTTTGGGGAACACGAGAAGTAATCAGGAGGAGAGCAGAATGTGCTTGTGCAAGGTCAGAGCCTGGGTCTGCTCCCTCTGTGAGGTGTGCTGGTTCCCACAGCTGCGACAGCAATTCCCACAGGAAACCCAAAACTCCCACTGGAAGTGTCATTCCTTCAACACTCCAGAGCCTCAGAATAATTCACCAACAACTCAGGAACGACACTGTGCAAACACCATCTCCAGAAGCACTGGAGAGCCACCAGAGCATCTTCTGGGGTTCACGGAGCGACTGCGAGGAAAAACCAACCCCGAGCACAACCCCTGGCTGGGACGATCCATCTCAGGATACCTACCAGGTCCTCCAGGGCAGAGCCACTAGAGCAGGAATGTTTGTGTCTGACTGCAACGGGAATGAGCGTGAGAGCAGGGAAGAGAGCCCAGGCACTGGGCTGGAAGCCATGCAAACACAGAGCTGGGGGCAGGCAGAGCTCTCCCTCCCATCCATCATCCATCATCCATCCATCCTCCATCCATCCATCATCCATCCATCATCCATCATCCATCCATCCATCCATCCATCCATCCATCCATCCATCCATCCATCCATCATCCATCCATCATCCATCCATCCATCCATCATCCATCATCCATCCATCCATCATCCACCCATCATCCATCCATGCCTGTGGGCACTGGGAGCTCTGGTGGGACCCACACACGGCTGGGGCAGGGGAGCAGGGGGCTGGGGGGAGGTGGGAGCACGGAGGAGACCCTGGGCTGGATGTGGGACACAAATCAAGGCCTGCCTTTGTGGTTTGGGCAATGTCCCTTGGCACGGCGGGGTGCAAGCCCCAGTCCAGGGGAGGAGGAGGAGCACTGGAGGCACCTGCCCGGTCAGTGCTGCCCAGCCAGGCTGCTCCACGGGGGACTCTGCTGTGGGAAGGGCTCTGCCTCTCCTGGGCAGAGGAAGGGATTGTGCCCCACCTTCACAACCAGCCCCAACTTCCCCTCCACACTGGTTCTTCTCTCCACGTTTCATGTTTGTGACCACCACCAACTTTTGGGGCATTCCTGGAGGCACCATATCCACCTGGGTTTTAATTTAGCAAAACTAAGGAATTCTGTGGGGATTTAAGAGCCCAAAACTACAGAGAGCAGAATTAATAAATCCTCTGCCCTCCTCTCAGAGCTGTGGTGTCCCTGTCAAACAGAGCAAAACCTGAGGAAGTTTTTACAGGATAAAACCAGCAGGAAAAATCACAGCCCAGTGTGGGCTCTGCTCCTTGGCACTGACCAGTGGGGACAAAACCACGCCAGTGACTGAGAAATCAAAGGGGGGGAAATCAACATAAACCCCAAATTTGGAGGTGCTGTGCAGTGAGAACTGAGAGCTTGCAGCATGCTCTGCTCTGGGGGACAGAGCTGGTGTCTGGAGGCACACAGAGCACAGCAGAACTCACAGAAGCAGGCAGAAGAGAGGTTAAGAAGCAGTTAAGGCAGGGTTAAGGAAATGCAGACAGTTCCTGCCACTCGGATCCAGGGCTGAGCTTACCATGACCTGGCTAATGAAGGAGCTTCTGCCTGGCAACCATGAAGGGGCAGCACTTATTTAGAAAGGATCCTCTTTACAGCCTTCAATGTTCAGTGATGAAACAGAAAATGGATTTTCAGACTCTTGTGATGCTCTGGAAGAATTCCCTGCACTTCTTTTCTCCAGGTGGGATTCTCCAGAGCAGCCAGCTGGGGCTCTTTCAGCAGCATCAGGCACTGAAAATGCACTTTCTTACATTGGGGCACCCTCAAGTTTTGCCTGGTTTTAATTCCTCGCTGCTGGCAGGTACAAATCTCCCCTTGAGAGGATCACACACTCCCCCAAGTTGTGATTTCCATCCAGGACACGTGGATGTGTGAGGAGCTACAGGCAGAGCAAGGAGAAGCAGCTGGCATGCAAGGGAGCGTGCTGGGAACCCAATCCCTGCCAGCCACAAGCTGCTCATTTTAAGAGCATTTTCTCCAGTGTTTTCTCTCACTGGGTGTGTTCTCACATAAAAAAGGTCCTGATCTAAATCAGTTTGGGATTTTTAGTGTAAATATTTAAATATTTAGTGCCCAGGAGTTTTCCTGCTGCAGGAGGCACTGGAATTCCCCCTTTCTTGCCCTCCCAACCTCACAGCCATCAGCTCCCCTGGGATGCTGGCAACTGAAAGGTTCCACCTGGGGGTTCTGCCCCCAAACAAAGAGCAGCCCAGTGTGCCAGCAGCAGCCTGACCCTGTGCTTCTCTGCTCACTCCAAAAGGCAGCTCAGCAGCTCCTGAAGCCCTGGGGAGTGGGGATGGAGATGGGACGTCGGTGATGCATGAGGCACACACGGAGTCACAGTGAGACAACCATGGGGCAGTGATGGAGAAATCCAGCTCAAAACACACACGAGAAGCAAGGCCTGTGGAAGCACAGAGTCCCTTACTTGAGGGGAGCTGCCAGGAGAGAAGCCTTGATTGGAGACAGGAGAGGTGGGAGACTGGTTGGCTGGGGAGCCAGCATTACTGCGGTACTGCTGGAGTGAGGCCTACAGAACAACACACAATTAAACACTGCCCCTGAGGCAGCCCTGCAAAACACCAACAGCTTCTGCACTCCTGCGAGACACCATCCTCTTCACGTGCTCTGTGGGAAGACAGGGTTATGTGCATGGGGTCCCCAAAATGTGGGCAGAGCTCTGGGACAGCCCCAGGGCAGGGGCAGGCACAGCTGGGAGCATTTCCTGCCTCTTCTCACTTGTGCTCGGTTCAAAATATATTCACAAATCAGGTCAGCCAAGGATTTAGGGCAAAGAAGTCTTGGAAGCTGGGAATAATTCACAAAGAATGTCACTCATGCTTCAGTTGCAGTGCCAGCCCCACGAGTGTGCTCCCTGGGATGCTGCTCTGCCTCCAGCTGTGCTCTCAGCACAGTGCAGGTGAGAACACCTGAAGGACAAACCTGGCCCCAAAGCTGTCCCCACACAGCCCCAACCTCCACTGCACCCAGGACATGGAGCAGGCACCCTCAGGGAACCCCCACTGTGCTCTGCAGGCTTGTAGCTGGGGTTTTTATACTCTTCTCAGCTGTCTTGAGAAGTTATTTTCAAAGATTTTTTTTTTCCCCATTATAAAGAACCCTGGTTTGGAACAAATCAATAATATTAATGGGATTTAAATAATGCTGCACTAATTAACATCAAGAGTAGCCCAGCTCTTCTTATTTTACTCCCATTAGAAATTAAGGGATGACTGAGGAGAACCTGCAATCCAGTGAATTTAACCACATTTGCAATGTGGGAGAACTCTGCACTGCCAATTTTTGACCCCAAATTCTGTAAATCCCGAGAAAATTTCTTTTTGCTCTGCATTGCCACTTACAACCTGTCAAAAGGTTATACAAACTACAAATAAACTTCAATTCTGCTTCACAAAACCTGTGCAGAAACTGCCAGCGAGGCTGTGACAGCTCCAAAGCTTTTTGATAAAGTGGCTTTAAGTCTGTTTATTTAGGAATTACTGAGTTGCTTTAGAAGATAAACACAGCAGCCTAAAAGTTCAGGTCATAAAGAGGTTTAGGATGAGGAAAGCAACACAGAAAGCAAAGGATGAGACCAGAATTGTCTGTGCTGGTGCTGCATGAGGATTAGAACCAAAACAGGGACACGATTTGAGTGGGGTGGGATCCTTTCCACTGCTGGACTGTCCCTCCCTGCTCCCCCTCCCACCTGGAAGGGAAGCAGCTCTCTCAAGGAGCACCAGCTGTTAAAACTTCCATCCACAAGCAGGGCAGATCAGCAGAATTGATCTGGTTCATTCCCAAAGCCATCCCTGTCACTGCAGCCCTGCCAGGACACCACGGGTGGGACACCCAGGACCCCCAGGGCAGGAGGGGCAGGGGAGCTGGGGCTTCCCTTCTCTCCTGCCTGTGAGTCCTCATCTGGGATTTTCAGCTGCTTTCCTACAAGCAGGAAAAGGGATCTGTCCATAAATCCATGCTCCAGTCCTTCCGGGCACTGGAGGCAGGCACAAATCCCATTCTGGAATCCATGCTCTGAAAGTCCTCAGAATAAAAGGGTTCTAAGTAGTGAAACTGCAGAGAACACCTGGCTCTAGACAACTTTTGGGAAGTAAATTTTCCAGATGGTATTTTATTGGGAAATGGTTGTTGTGGTTGGACCCCCTCTCAAGGCTCTGGAGCTCCCCCAGTCTGCACCATGATGTGTTGGGGGGACACTGAACACCTGAAAATCTCCCAGTACACACCGATAGATTTAAGCTGGCTTTAATCAAACCTGGGACAAAACTTAATAAAAATTTCCCTCTAGAAAACACTTAAATGTTCATTTAACCAAAACCATTTGCAGTTTACTTCAGCCTCCCTGGAATCCTCCTGAGCTGGGGGTTGTCCAGGCTCACTTCCCAGCCCGCAGTGGCCATTCCCAGCCCGCAGTGGTCACTCCCAGCCCCCAGTGGCCATTCCCAGCCCCCAGTGGCCACTCCCAGCCCCCAGTGGCCACTCCCAGCCCCCAGTGGCCACTGCCAGCCCTCCCCAGGCGAGCCCTTCCCAAACTCACCGAGTTGATGTCAATGCCCATGGAGGGCTGGCTCTGGCTGCCCGGGGGTGACTGGGGGATGCTGGAAGGTACCGTGACAGACAGAGGGGGCAGCTGGGGGCCCCTCTGCAGCCCCGAGCTCTGCAGCAGAGGGGGGGTCTGGGGCAGGGAACTGGCCACTGCTGGCTGCTGCTGCTGCTGGGAGCTGGTCTGGGTGAAAAAGGGGTACGGGGGCAGCTGCTGCTCCAGGGACAATGCATCCATAGCCACGGCCTGCAAAAGAGGAGGAGATCAGCCACGATGGCAGGGGAGTCCTCTTCACACCAAGAGAAGGGAGTCAGGCTTGGGTGGTGCTGTAAAAATGGCACCTAAAGGTTCAGAGAGGCAAGAAGCTGCTCTGAGATGTTCCTGTCCCTGCCAGGGGTGGATTGGATGAGGTTTAAGGTTCCCTCCAAGCCAAAGTATCCTGTATAAACCAATACTTTAATTTAATTTAAACCCAGTTGAATCTCAAGGTCAGAAATCACCAACCTGGGCAGTCACAGAGCCACAATAAAATTGATTTTTAAAAGTTAATTGAGTTTCTGTCACGAATTAGAGAAATGGCTTTCAAATTTCACAGCTCACTTTGGGACAACACCAAGAAATGTGGTCTAAGAGATGGTTTGTATCACAGCTCTAGAAAAGAGGAAGTAAAATCTGTCCCCTCTACAAACCTCTCCTGTTTTAAGGCTCTCAATTAAGGAACACCTTTAAAGGAGGAAATTACAGAACAGGAGATGAAGTTCATGGAATCATGGTTTGGGCTGGAAAGGACCTTAAAGCTCATCTTGTCCCATGGGCAGGGACACTTTTTACTCTCCCAGGCTGCTCCAAGGCCAGTCCAGCCTGGCCCTGGGCACTCCCAGGGATGGAGCAGCCCCAGCTTCTCTGGGAATCCCATCCCATCCCATCCCATCCCATCCCATCCCATCCCATCCCATCCCATCCCATCCCATCCCATCCATCCCATCCCATCCCATCCCATCCCATCCCATCCCATCCCATCCCATCCCAGCCAGGAATTCCTTCCCAACCCCCCTGCGGCTCTTTGATTAAGCAGATTAAAGCAATGAGGCCGTGATTAGAAAGCTGGAACTGCCCCCGAGCTCCTACCTGAGTGATGGGTGACAGTGGGGACAGCGTGGGGGACATCTGCTGGGACTGAGGTCGCCGCGAGTCCGCGCCCAAGGACAGGGGGCTGACACTGGGCTGGCGGTGCTGGGACGGGGCCGGTGTCGTTGTCATTCCTACTGAGAAAGCAACCCTCAGCAGGGACACGGCAGGGACACGGCAGGGACACGGCTGAGACATGGTAGGGACATGGCTGAGACCAGGGTCATAGCAGGGACATGGCAGGGACACAGCAGGGACACAGCAGGGACACGGCAGGGACACAGCAGGGCCCTGCTGGGCTCTGTACCCAAAAGAATCCCCTAAACCCAGAGAAAGGCGCGGCCTGAGCGGGCAGCGCTGCAGAAGCCTCGGCTGATGGCGCGGGAGCTCGTTAGGTGATTTGTAATTAATTTTGTCAGCTTGGAGAGCATCAGGATGAGAGGAAGAGCCCTGTGGGCTGCCCTGGCTCAGCCCCAGGCACGGCTGCTGGGGTTGGAGGCCAGGATGAGGAGCTGGAAGGGGCAGAGCAGCTCCAGGCACCGCAGGCACCGCGCTCGCAGCCGCGCTCGGCCCAGGAACAGCAGGTTCTGCTCTCCCTGTGCGGGCTGGGGCTCTGGGAGGGAGAGAACAGAGCCTGGCACCAGCCTTGTCACAGGCCACTCGAGGCACTGCACAGGCAAACACCTCTTCAATGGAAAGAGCAGGAGCAGAACTGGTTCTGCAGGAAGAGCCCCGTTTTTAATGGCACAGCAGGGCAGGAAACGGGCACCACGCTCCCAGGAGCCACAGCCCGCCTCGGGCTGAGCACAAACAGCCAAACCTTGTCCTTTTGTCCAGATCTGGCCAAAATCTGGGAGTGCCACAGCCCGCCTCGGGCTGAGCACAACCAACCAAATCTTGTCCTTTTGTCCAGATCTGGCCAAAATCTGGGAGTGCCACAGCCCGCCTCGGGCTGAGCACAACCAACCAAATCTTGTCCTTTTGTCCAGATCTGGCCAAAAATCTGGGACTTTAGTAACCTCTCCTTTGTTTCTGCTTCACCCCAGAGGAAGCGAGGGAAGGATGTGAGGGCAAGGCAGCGTGAGCTGCTCCTGGGGCTGCCAGGGAGCAGCAACTCACAGGAGAAACTCACAGGAGCAGCAACTCACAGGAGCAGCATCTCACAGGAGCAGCATCTCACAGGGCAGCTCCCGGGCACCTGGCAAAGGCTCAGGGCTCCAGGCAGGCTGCCAGGGAGGCAGGAAGGCCAGGCTGCCAGGAGCAGCAGGAGAAGGGCTCAGGCAGGCAGGTGCCCAGGCAGGTGCCAGGCAGGTGCCCAGCCCAGCCTGGCTCCCCTGGCTCCCTGCAGGGTGCTGGCACCTGGAGGTGCCCAGGCAGGTGCCAGGCAGGTGCCCAGCCCAGCCTGGCTCCCCTGGCTCCCTGCAGGGTGCTGGCAGCTGGGGGTGCTGCCGTGCCCACGTCCCCTCCCTGGGTGCTGGGGCACAGCCCCGGGCCCTGGGCACTCCTGGGCAGGGCACGGGGGCAGGAGCCCGCAGGGAGCTCTCAGCAGGGAGGGAAGGTTGGCAAACCCAGCCTGGAAAGCAGCCAGGGCTGAGTGGGGCACTGGTGAAGTGTGGGACCATCCCAGGGAGGAGCTGGAATGGGTCACCGAGGCAATCCTGAGTTTGTTCTGTCTTGGACAGACCAGGGAACCTTTTCAAGGCAGGTTCCCACTCACCACTTTGGGTTTGTACCATTTACTGTGCTAATTATGGGGAAAAAATGTGGAGATCCACTGTGGCTGAAAATCCTGACTTCTAAACCCATCCCTGCAACTTTGGGGCCCAAAAAACTCTTGCAAGGATGCTGAAAGTGCTGTCCCCAGATGGCCAAATCCTTCAAATGGTTAAATCCTCTCCTTGCTCCCCAAACTCACCTGGCTCCAGCCATTTCCTTCTCCCAGTCCAGGAGAAGTGGGAGAGGGAATCCTGCCCAGCACAGGAAATGTGTTTGTATTTTTGGATACAACTCCTCATTTCTATTCTAGGAACCAACAGACTTGCAACTGTCACTGATAATTTAAAAAATAAACAAACAACCCTCTTTGTAATTATCTGAGTATCAATGGAATTACTTTAAAAATAGCAATTAATAATTAAAATATTATTCAATAATAGGCTCTAAAAGGATCCTCACATGAAAACAAATGCTGTTCTAAAGGAATGGAAATAAAAGGGCTGTTGGAAATATTCCCATAACACAAGGGATGGTGGGGTTCAGCACAAGGAATTTCAAGAGAGGAAAACATTAAAAAAAAATAAATAAAAATAAAATATTTTAAAATAAACATAAAAGAGACCCAAAACTAAATCCCAAAAAAGCAGATTTGGGCATCAAGAACAGGAGATAAAGGTCCTGTGTCTAAATAAAAAAATCCCCGTTTTGTTGTACATACAATACACAGGAGCAGTGGAGCCAAACTGATGGCATGGGTCAGAAACAGAATGGGTCAGAAACAGAATGTTATGGATGAGGAAAAATAACAACCCTGAAAATCAGAACTGACCTGGAGACAGGCCTCAGTGGGTCAGAAACAGAATGTTATGGATGAGGAAAAATAAACTTGAAAACAAAACCAAACCTGCCAGACAGACCTCAGTGGGTCAGAAACAGAACGTTATGGATAAGGAAAAATAAAAAATCTTGAAAATCAGAACCCACCTGCCAGACAGACCTCAGTGGGTCAGAAACAGAACGTTCTGGATGAGGAAAAATACCAACCCTGACAATCAGAACCTGGAGACCCCAGGCCAACACAGAACCGTGCCAAGCAGAACCCCCCTGCTCTCTGTCCTGGCTGCAGTCACAGCCGTGCCACCCCGGCAGCCCTGAGCCGCTCACCCTGGCTGGCAGAGCTGATGCCCAGGTGGGTCAGGTTGGCAGCCAGGTTGCCCGTGCTGCTGGAGCTGCTGAGGGCAGGGAAGGACTCCTCGGGGTCCAGCGGCGTGGGCAGGGGCGAGGGGAAGTGGATGTTGGTGAGGTCGGGCAGCGAGCCGCCCGTGTTGTGCGCGCCGGGGATCAGGGCTGGGGCGCTCTCCTGCTCCGCTGACGGGAAGATGCTGCATTTGAGAGGAAGAAAAACCCACATTTATGGAGAGTTCGGGCTGGCAGAGGGGTCTGAAATTGTGTCACAAGGAAATTCTTGTATTGTATCAAATATTGTTGTATTATATAAAATAATCAGGGGTTTTGAGCTGTTAAAAATGAATTTAACAGGAAAATTTCATTGGAAATATATTTACCTTCTTAAAATGTATTAACCTTTTTAAAATGTATTTCACAAGAAAATTTCATTGGAAAGATATTCTTTACCTTTTTAAAATGTATTTCACAAGAAATTTTTACTAAGATTTTTCTGAGCTTTTCAAAATGTATTTCACAAGAAAATTTTATTAAGAATTTTTTGAGCTTTCTAAAATGTATTTAACAAGAAGATTTCATAAAGAAGATTTTTTTAGTTTTTTGAAATGTATTCAACAAGAAGATTTCATTAGGAAGACATTTTTCGCCTTTAGAAATGTATTTAGCAAGAAAATTTCATTAAGAATATTTTTTTAAGCTTTTTAAAATGTATCTAACAAGAAAATTTCATAAAGAAGACCTTTTTGAGGTTTTTAAAATGTATTTAACAATTAAAAAGATTATTTTAGCTTTTAAAAATATCTGTAACAAGAAATTCCATATAGATATTTTTAGTATTTCTGACCCTCAGAGGGTCTTGTTCTGTACCTAGAACCTTCCCAGAAAATTCCAAAGCAACAGAATATTCAATCCTCAATTCTGCTTAAAGATCTCAGTGCTTTTAAAATAATTTTTTTTTTAAAAATTGCTGAGAACTCACTTGATTCCTGGAACTTCACAGGATTTGGGTCTCGATGACCCAGTCTGAAACAGAAGGGAGAGAGATTTAAAGGCAGAAATGCTGCTGGAGGCTATTGCCTCAGAAATATTTCAGTTTATAATTTCAATTTAATCACTTTGTGTAAGGTCTGGGAGTTCTTAGAAGGTATTTATCTTTTTTTTTGCTTTACTGGTCCAACAAATCTTAAATTTCCAGAGTTTCTCCTCACACAACCAAGCCTGGGCATTCACACCCACATGAAATGCTCCAATGTTCATAATTTGGTTTTAAACACAGCATTTCATCTCCAATCTCAAGTGGTTTATTAAAATTAACAGTGACTGAAGCATTCATTTCTCTAAATTTGTTCAGAAAAGAACATTTCTACACTTGGAAAGTGCAATTCCCACCTTTTTAGTGTCCCAGCCTTGCTTGGAGAGGGTTTTGTCTGCATCAGAGGTGCTCTCCTCCATTCCAGGGACAGTCAGCAATAAAACTAAAGAAACAGATGAAAAGGAATCATTCATAATCAATAACATTCAGCTTCCTGGAAGTCTAACCTCTGAGGAAATCTTAAATTCCCACGGAGGATGAAAGAGTGCTTTGGGAATCCAAAACTGCAGAGAATTCTTTGAGTGCTGAAGCTCCCAGAGGTTCTGGGGGTGCTGTCGGGGTTCTGCAGAGGGGGACCCTGCAGGGTCCCTCGGGATCGGGGCTGCGGGAGCCCTCGGGATGAACAATTCCCATTGCCGAGAGGGGCAGGGCCCAGCAGAGGGCACCGGGGCGGGGGGTGCCAGAGCTGGGGGTGCCAGGGCTGGGGGTGCCAGGGCTGGGGGTGCCCAGGCTGCTCCAGCCTGGAACTGCTCTGAGATCCTCTGGAATCTCCTGGAATTGCTCTGGGATCCTTTGGAATTGTTCTAGGATCCTTTGGAATCCTCTGGGATCCTTTGGAATCCTCTGGAATCTGCCTCTCCCTGGGGATCCCCCAGCAGGAACAAACCCTGGGTGCAGCCCCTGCCCCTTCCCTGCAGGTCCCTGCTGGAATTCTGGAACCCCACACTCTCCAGGAGCTCCTCCAGAGCCCCAGCAGCCCAGAGGATCCTCCCCAGGGCAGGAATGATAAAATCTGGGGCTCAGGAAAAACTTCTCCCTGTGTTTTGTGTCATTTTTTCCTGGATTTCAGCAGCCAGAAAGGTGAATGGGATCCAACTGCTGTCACAGGAAGTGTCAGCACTCCTCAACTTTACAAACATGATATAAATTGTTTTATATTTTTTTCTGCTCACCTCTTTTCTGCTGCATGTCCTGGGACCCTCCTGAAAAGGATTCCTGCTGAGCTGGAGTCATGGTGCTCTGGTGCAAGGCAGAATCAGAATTTGTCCTGAGAGAAAGCAAAACCCACAATATTTTTATTGCCAGCCTCACTAAATAAAAAGAATTTTCCTCTCAGATGAAAGCAACAACTCGGTAAAACCTCAATACTGTGCATTAAAACCCAAAAACCTCTACATGGCAGAAACCAGGCAGAATTTCCTTGTGAAACAATCAATTTGCAGAACAAATTAGTTCAAGTTTGAAGAGCAATTGTTTCAATAATGGGATTGAGAGGAACACAGGATAAATTGGTTGCCCTTGTTAGAACAGTTTTATCTGCTTTGTTCAGATTAAATATGATCATTTTTAAGCTGTTTAGCCATACTTTGGTTATTGTGGTGGTGAAGACAAACATTCCTGGTTGGGAGGAGGAAAAGGAATGGTTCAGGATGTTGTGGAGATGGGAATTTTCATGGCCAGCACATCTCAGGATGAACTTTTGAGTGTGGCCACCCTCAAAGTGTAACTCTGTGTTCCTTCCACTGCACATTCCCAGCCCAGTTTCTGCACCAGGGGAAATATCCAAGTCCTGGGCTGTGCCTGAGAACTTCTGCATTCTCAAAGACTTTGCAAGATTAACCTTTAAGGATTTACCTTCAAAAAGGTATCACTAAATCAAAGTATCACCTGCAGCCACCTCAATTTTAAAGCCCTGCTGAACTCCAAATGAGTTTCAGAACCCCTGCAGGCACACTGCCAGCTGCCCCAGGGCAGAGCAGCCCCAGGGCAGGGTGGCACCCACCTCCTCCAGCTGGTGTCCGACGGCGGTGACAGGTACACGGTGCCATAGGGGCAGCTGTCCACGTGGCCAGGGTTAAGGCAGCAACACCTGCACTCCAGCAGGAATCTCCTCCCAAGAACAATCCCAGTTATCCTGTCAGAACCACTGAGCTCACAGATTACCTACGGGGAGCTGTAAAGGGAGCTCAACCCAAAGTGTTATGTGGATTGTTGGGCTGTTTGAGCAGTAGAAATCCTTCCTCCTTTTCCTTGGATTTAACTCCTGGTGCCTCCTCCCTGCTGTCACACATCCCCTCCAGCCCCATTTCCAGCTGTCAGAAATGCTCAGCTCAGCCCAGCCCAGATGCCAACAGGAGGAATCAACCTGCACTGAAATGCCCAGGAGCTGCAAAGGAGAGCCCTGGGCTGGGCTGGCTCAGCTCTGAAGGGAAACTGCATTTCCCAGGCCAGCCCCAACCTTTCAGGGAACTGTGGAATGGTCTGGGCTGGGATGGGAGGACCAGAGCTGGCAGTGAGGGTGCACCCAATCCACCCTTAAATGCCCCCAAACCAGCTCTGAGGACACCACGTGTCACTGGTGCCCACTGGGACACCGAGCTGGTGACCACAGCCCCTTGGGCACACCCATCCAGCCAGCTCCTGATCCACTGACCCATCAAATCCAGGTCAGACACTGGATATCCATGGGACAGGGCCAAATGCCTCACCCAGAGAAGGCCACCACAGTCCCAGGGCACCTCTGGCCTGAGGGAAGCCCTGCTGGGTGTCCCAGTCCATCCAAGCATCCCTGAGCTCCACGTGGACCATCCCCATGGAGAGCTGAGGAAAGGGGAGCTCTTCCCTCACAGACAGGAGGTGTTCATGGAATGGATCAGGGCCCGGGGAAAGCAGGGACACCGAGCTGGGAAGTGACTGCACAGCCAGGGAGGAGGAGAAGGGACCTGAGGTGGTGTGGCAGCCACAGGGAGGGAGCAGAAGGGATGGGGTGGTGTGGCAGGCTCAGGGAAGGAGAAGGGATGAGGTGGTGGCACCCACAGAGGAGGGAGCAGAAGGGATGGGGTGGTGTGGCAGGCTCAGGGAAGGAGAAGGGATGAGGTGGTGGCACCCACAGAGAAGGAGAAGGGACCATGGTGGTGTGGCAGCCTCAGGGCAGGGAGCAGAGGGGCTGGGGTGGTGTGACACCCACAGGGCAGGGAGCAGAGGGGATGGGATGGTGTGGCACCCACAGGGCAGGGAGCAGAAGGCATGGTGGTGCTGTGGCACCCACAGGGCAGGGAGCAGAAGGCATGGTGGTGCTGTGACACCCACAGGCAGGGAGCAGAAGGCATGGTGGTGCTGTGGCACCCACAGGGCAGGGAGCAGAAGGCACGGTGGTGCTGTGACACCCACAGGGCAGGGAGCAGAGCAGAGGGGCAGCCTGCTGCCAAGGATATCTGCCGGCCGTGCTTGTCCACGGAGAGCGGGCGGCGGTGCGGCGAGCCCAGGCGGTTCCGCTCCCGGTACACCCTGTCCACCAGCCCGTGGTGCCGCGTGGTCCTGCTCGTGTCCAGCGCTGACGACTGGAACGGGGTCTGGGAGAGACACGGGGGTTACCCACAGGGAAAGTGCCCGGCCTGCCCAGAGCCTCCTCTCCTCCTCCTCCTCCTGTGCCAGGCTGGCTCGCTCTGAGGAGTCGCTCCAAACAAGGTGTGTGTCCTGTGGGTTTGTTTTTCCTCCTGCCTGCTCCAGAAGGGGCCGTGCTGGGGTGGCCCGGCCCGGCCCAGCAGTGCCCTCTCTCCCTGGCACCCCGAAGCCCCGGGCTGAGCGTGGCAGGAGCTGCCAGGCGCTGTCCCCATGCCCTTGGTGCAGCATGCAGGGAGCACGGGAGGAACATGCCGACATCCAGAGCCTGAGCCGGGCCGGGAGATGCAGGAGGAGCTGCACGCTGAGCTCAGCATTCCCCGGACACGCCGCCTGCTCCCCGGGCTGCCTCACCCCTCCCTGCAGCAGATTTATTTTAAGGGGACACTGAGAGAATGAAAAGAAAAAGAAAAGCAGTTTCCTTCCTCCTCTGTCGGGTGGGTTTGAAGTGATTCTCAGCTCCTTCAGTGACCCGAGGTGGGACGATCCCACCTGGACCTTATCTCACTGACATCCTGAGCAGATGATTTCAGAGCGGGAGGATGGCAGGGAAGGACAGGCAAGATGAATTCCCAGGCTCAAGTGGAAAAGGTTCACATTTTCCACAGCCCTTCCCAGTGTGTGCCGGGGACAAAGGAAACCCCGAGGGGTCGATCTCTGCTCGAACTGCAGCAGCAATTTACGGCTCTCCAGGGAGAACAGCCCTCCCCAGCCCTGCACTCCCTGCCAATGCGAACAGCTTTGCTCAGTCCCTCAACACCATCTGTTTGGAAATCCAAAATTTCCTCCTCCATTCAGGTGCTGCACGTGGCAAATGCACTGTCCTGTCTGCCAAGCCATGAAACCATCTGGCCTCCACATTCATCCCTTTTCCTTTTGCTTTTTGCTTCTCTTTTTTTCCCAAGTGTCAGCTTTGGCTGTTGAAAAGATTATTTCTATAAAGCTTTGCATTTATTTTGAAAAGCTTTGTTTGTATGAACTTTTTAAAGAGTCTTTCTACTATTTTAAACCCTTTTCTCTTCAGCAAATATTGGGCTCCTCGCCCTCTCTGCACACACAGGCTGTGTTAACAGAGCTGCAGAGGGGCTGTGGTGTTTATTTTCTCATTTCAGGGCCAACATTTTACATGCAGCAGAATATTTAAGGCAACAGGGGACTAGAAAGGAGCACAGTGACTTTTTACAGGACTCTCAGCACTTCAGATCGTGGGGTTTTGCTTCACTTCCTCACTTGGCTGAGAAATCTCAAATAGAATCTCAATTTTAAGGGTTTTAAACTCAAACACGGTGCTTTAATCTCTGCTGCAAGCACTGAGCAACAATCCCCAACACAGGTGGGAATATTCATCATTCCAAACGACAAAAGGTCTCAAACTCTTCCTTTTTTCTGTTGTTACAGCCCAAAAGGCAGCAAAATTTGCAAATACGTGCTTGGAAGGTCAACAGGAAAAGCAATTTCCTATGTCAGTGGTGTCAGCACAGTGCTGCTAAAAAAGGAGCAGCCAGCCCTGAGCACAGGGCTCACCTGGAATTTAAAGGGAGGCCAAAGCACAAAATTATAAAGACAAGAAGTTCCCTGTAAAAACAGCTATTTCTTAGGTTTTACCTTTTATTGGCTCAATTTCCTTATCAAAAACACAATAAAAATCTCATCTGAGTGCAGCAGTGGCACAAACAATCATGGAATGTGTCCCAAATCAGGGCTACAGTTTACAGAAATGGGGATTTTGGTGTTCCCTGGCTTTCCAGGAACCAAGATCCCAAAAGAATCCTGAATTTAGAGCAACAGAAAACAGCTGAGGAAATGGATTTCACCTCCAACAGGTCTGGCTTCTCTCAGCAACCTTCCTATAAAATTTATTTAGGGCCAAACACCAGGACAATGTTCTGTTTTAAAAATTAAAATTGCCCATCTCTGCATGGCATGAGATATTTAACTCTAGGGAAAAAAATGGATAAAAAATAATTAATAGATCTGAGCACTGACTGTATTTGGGAAAATGAAGAACTAAAAGGGTTTCATTCCCCTGAAAAACATTCAAGGGCTTGAGACCAGACCCCAAACCCCCCAAACCATGAAAAAGCAGCTCGATACAGACAGGAAGGAAAGAGCTCAGCGCTCTCCAAGTGTCCTTTTAGGATCCTCAGGAATTCCTCCCAGGTGAGGTGGGTGAGGGGAAGGAGGAGTGCTCCCTACTGCAGGTTGGCATTTCGGGGCCTCCTGGTGCCAAGCAGGATTTGGGAATTCATTCTGCCCTTCCCCACGCACTGAAACATGCAGGCTGAGTGCACATGCTCAGAGATTGCTGAAACCACAGGCCAAGACTGAATAATCCCCTGGCTGCACCAAAAAACCCCCAAAAACCAGAAATAACCACATGACAGCAAGTGCAGGGAGCCTGCACAGGAATTATTTGCATGTTCCAGACTGGGCTGCATGGCAAAACGTGGCGTTTGTGTGGCAGCCCTGCAGTGCTGGGGTGACCAAACAACTCCTGTGCAGGGCAGAGCTGGGCACAAATACGTATCCACCTGGGCTAACAGGACCAGTCCTAAATACGTATTTGCACAAACCTAAAAACTTGTTTACCAAAGAGACAGGAACTGCTCCAAAGGCTTCAGCCAGAGCTCCGTTGTGCTGCAAATCAAAGAAGCAGAAGATGCTCAGACACCAACGCTCCCAGCAGGCACAACCACCCAGGCTCTGCCTTCACACCACCCAGAGCCTGCAGTCGTGCTCGAGCTTCACACTGGCAAAACCTGGCAAGCTTTTCCCCCTGCTACCAACACGGGCTTGTTTTGTTGCTTGCCACCATTTGTTATCTGGAACAACATCAATTTGGGGTTTTTTTTAGAGTGTGTGTGTGTGTGTGAAAATCTAGAAAACCCCAGGGTTTAAGGATAGTTTGTTTCTGTCTCCTCCTCCAGTCATTCATAAATTTTTGAATATTCCCTTTTCAGCAGTCAGGATTAAAACAGTCCAGGTAAAACCCACCAGTGATGGCCATCAAGCACAGAAATACTGAAATGCTATTGTTTAAAAAGAATTCCTAACCTCCTTAACAAAAGCCTGAACAGAGCAGACATTGTGGAGTGACACTGGGGACTTCAATCCACTACAAACCTGCTCTGTATTCCCTGAAGAATTAAAGATTAAAATAGAATTTTGCCTGTGCTCTTGCACGAGATTCAAGCTTTTAACCTGCCCAAATTCAGCTGTCTGCACCTATTTCAAGAAGCAGTTAGAGGAGGTCAGCAAGAGTTTCTCCATCTTTATTAAGCAGCCTTCATCAGAAAACCACAAACTGCAAAATTTCCTTCCCACCACATCCTCGTGAGCTCAACTGTAACTCTGACTGCTCAAAAAAGGAAAACCAATGCAGAAATGTTCATGATTTTGAGCACTCTGAATCAACTAAACGTGGAAATCAGGAGCCCACAAAGGATCCACCAAGGGATCCTGTCCTTGGACAAGATCCTCTGTCCAAACAGGCTTCAAACAGCAAAATATTCACCTGAAACTCTGATTTTCTGTTTAAGGTGCATCATTCCTGGAGTCACAAAACCCAGCCAGGACACTCTTGCATTTCCTTTCCAGCCAGCCCAAAAAAAGTGATTATTCTGATACCACTTTGTGTCCCACTGCTCTTCTCCTCTCCCAAATTCCTCCCACAGAACATGCACATCAATTCCTCCACCCCCCACCCCAACATCATCTTCAATTCCTCCCATTTTGCTTTGAATTTGCAGCATCTTCCCAGGTTCCATCAGGAATTGCATCTCAGAGTGCTCCTGACCCCGAGGCCTCACAACCAGGGACACAACTCAAATCTACCACAACCAACACAAAACCCCCACACATCCCAACCCCACAGCAGTGTTCAAACCAGGGTGCTGACTTCTGGGCCAGCAGCTGCCTGGGAGGACACAGCAGCAGCCAAGGCCAGAACCCAGCACCAAATCCCAGGAAAAGCCTCTGAACTCACCTGGAAGGGGAGATCCATGGCACTGTTCCCAATCTGATTCACATTTGGCAGTGACCCCCCGTAGTACTGGCCACGAGTCTGCCCCAGTTGCAGATATTGGGTTTTCTGCAGCTGTAGCTGAAAGAAAAGAAGGAGGAAAATACAATTTCAACTGTTATAACCAGCACAACCTGACACTGTGATGACTAAGAATGGAAATCATTAAAAGGCATCAATCCAACTTTTCCAAAGGAGGGTCGACCTTCTCCACAAGTTTCTTGCAGCAGGAAAAGCCCCAGAGAAAGGGCAGGGAGAGATTTCCAAGGAAAAGGCAGAGCCAGGTTCTCAAACAAAGGACAGAGAGGTTCACAGAAAACCCCTTCAGCCAAGGAATAACCAAACCACCAGCAAGAATTCCCCGTGGGACACGGGTGGTCTGCAGAGCTTCACTGAATGCCAGGTATCACTCTCCAGTAAAACATTCCAGGGGTTTGCCCAGAGCTGGAGACACTGCTGGATGTTTAGCTGAGGAAAGTTGAGGGGTGCTCAGGGTGCTCAGGGGTGCTCAGGGATGCTCAGGGTGTTCAGGGGTGTTCAGGAGAGCTCAGGGATGCTCAGGGTGTTCAGGAGAGCTCAGGGATGCTCAGGGTGTTCAGGAGAGCTCAGGGATGCTCAGGGTGTTCAGGAGAGCTCAGGGATGCTCAGGGTGTTCAGGAGAGCTCAGGGATGCTCAGGGTGTTCAGGAGAGCTCAGGGATGCTCAGGGTGTTCAGGAGAGCTCAGGGATGCTCGGGGTTGCTCGGGGTGCTCAGGGATGCTCAGGGTGTTCAGGAGAGCTCAGGGATGCTCAGGGTGTTCAGGAGAGCTCAGGGATGCTCAGGGTGTTCAGGGGAGCTCAGGGATGCTCAGGAGAGCTCAGGGATGCTCAGGGTGTTCAGGAGAGCTCAGGGATGCTCAGGGTGTTCAGGAGAGCTCAGGGATGCTCAGGGCTGCTCAGGGATGCTCCAGGTGCCCACACCACGCTGCCAGCCCTCAGACAGGATGCAGAGAAAAGGCCCAGCCTGTTTACTCCATGCCCACACTCTGGGGAGTGTGCTTACTCCATGCCCACACATGGAGGATCACAGAACTCCAGAATGATTCAGGCTGGAAGTGACCTTAAGGCTCACCTCATCCCCCCTGCCATGGCAGGGCACCTCCACCACCCCAGGCTGCTCCAGCCTGGCCTTGGCACTGCCAGGGACCCAGGGGCAGCCCCAGCTGCTCTGGGAATTCCATTCCAGAGCCTCCCACCCTCCCAGGGAGGAATTTTATATTCAAATAGTCCCTGAGTACAAACTCACCCTGAGGATGTATTTTCCTGACATTCAAACAATTCCTAGAAAACTCAAAGAACTTTATTCTCAGAATTTCCCCCAGAAGCCAGCCACTTCCAACTGCACAGACATTAAAATCTCTGGGCTTGAGCTGAGGGACCAAACTAATCCCTGAGTTGGGAGCTGACTCTGGAGAGCACAGAACCCCAGGATCACTGAGGAGGAAAACGGCTCCAGGGTCGTGGCCAGCCTTTGCCAGGGAGCTCCCAAAACCTCAGTTCTTCAGGCAAGACACCGCCCACAAAGTGGCTGCAAAGGGCAGATAATCCCCTCAGGCTGAAGATTTGTAAAACATTTCCAGTTTTCCCTGTCAGATGGCTCGGAAAGGCCCCATGTAAGGAGCAGGAAAGGCCCCTTTGCTTTTCTTGTGCAATATTTTGCCACGCAATTCCTGAAGCAAGACATGAAATTAGAGAAACCCTGTGTTAGCATCACTTAATGAGTCACAGCCCCTCCAACTCAGAGCACAAAAAGCACAATATCAGAACTAGCTGTGCTTTTTCCCTGGCCCCTGCATATGTTTTTGTTGTTAAAAAATAAAATAGAAAGAAAAAAAAAAGCCTTGTTTGGGATTTGGGCCAAACATTGAAGTAACTATTTCAACAGGTGTTGGTTTCCTTTCAAGAACCTCCAAAAGGCACCCAGGGAGGAGGGGGTGGCTTTGTGTTTTTCTTAGGATTTTGGGTTTTTTCTCAGGCTATTCCCACCTCAAAGCAGCCCAGCACAGGGAGGTCAGCAGCATTTGTCTTTCTGCTGCACTTGCATGGAAATGAGGCAACCCAGGAGCTGGGGAGCCAGGGCTGCTCTGCTTTGGCTGCACCATGGCTGTGAGCAGGGCTGACAGGGCTGGAGATGTGTGCCAGGAGTGAGAGCAGGGAGTGCTGCTCTCTGCTCCCGTGTCAGACAGGGAGGCCTGGCTGCTCTGCTCTGCTCTGCTCCCTCACTGCAGCCCATCAACAGCTGCCACTTGCAATCTGCAGAGATCAAGAGGAACCAGAGCAGCATTTGTGTCCTGAGCCTCCAAGCTCTGGCTTTTTAGCTGGAAGAAAAGTTGCTTTGAGGCTTAGGAGCTTGCTGTCATTCCAGCAGGAAATCAGGAGTGAAATCAGCTCCGGTTTTTCCCTTCTCAGCAAAAAACAAACAAAAAAAAAAGAGATTCAAATTTCTCTGAGATACCTCAGTGGGAAGCAGCACCAAAATCCAGAATAGAAGTTTGGGAAGGGACTTCAAATATTATTTAATTCCACCCCACACCTTCCACTATCCCAGGCTGCTCCAGGACACTTCCAGGGATGGGAAATCCACAATTTTCTGGGCAGGCTCTGCCAGGGCCTCCCCACCCTTTAGGAAAACAGCTGCTGTGACTAAAATGAAATTATTTCATTTCCCTCTCCATCCACCCTGCGAGGTGGAGCAGGTACATGGCACAACTGGGGATGAGCTTTTGAGAGAGGTTTGATTTTAAAAGAAAGTAACGAAAAAGGAAAAGCCTTTTCTTAACAGAAAAATTCCAATTACTCTGGAAATGTTAACAAGTCCCAGGGCAGCCCCAGGGTTATCTCCTGGGGCTGGATTCAATTAGTGCAATTTGGATCCTGGATGAATTCAGACAGGGGAGGATGATAAGGAATTAGTGAGCGCTCACCAGATTTATTAATTTCATGAACCACGAGAACTCGGTGACTCCACACTGCAGCTTTTGTATTTCTCTGTGGTGTGGCCAGGAGCAGCTCCCTGACAGCTGAAAATATTGCTAAATACCCCTGCTCCTTCCCGAGGAAGCTTTTGGGAAGAAAACAGCTTTTGCTTCTTAAACCACTTCATTTCCACTCGGTTTTCTTGTTCTGAAGAAATGTTCCCCAAACACCAGATCCAAATGGAATCTGTAATTTTCCTTCCACCAGCCTTTCTCTTACCCCACTTAACTTTAAATCTTCTTTTCTTTTTCTTTAAAATCCAATGTAATCACAAAAAATCACAATTTATGTGAACACTTATATGAAATACATCAGTTTTTCCACTTGGGTTACCACTTGTTGGACACCTAGCTGTGTTTGTAGGGAGAGATTCAAGTTCTACAATTAAAAAAATAATAAATAGAGAAGCAAAACCCTAAAATACAAATCCAGTTTTCCTACAGATTTTCTCATATGCAGATGGGAATTAAATGAAGCATTTATGAAGAATTCAATACTTGAAGTTATTGAAATTCTCCCCTGAAAAATTCTGAGTAAATTACAAATTTGTGGGCAGAACTTACTGGGCAGTTTGGCACTTTTGGCACCGTAAATCAACCCAAATGCACAGCAAAGGTTTTTGTTAAAATGTCTTTTTTAACAGATGAAATGTGGAGTGCCAGCACGATAATCAGAGGGTGGAGTGTCCGTTTGATAAAAGCCCAGATATCTGATGCCTGCAGGAAGCACAGATTTGGTGATAACAGCTTTTGCACTGCCTTGCAGTTTCCTCACCCAGCTTTCTTACAATTTCATGTTTTACCCTTTAAACAAACCCTTCCTCTTCAGCACCTCCAGCCTAATGAGCAGCAAAAGCAGCACAGATTAAAATTAGAAAAGTATTCTTGAAGCTTAATTGGGCCTTCAGTTGTGCAGGCAGGATTTGGTGGGGCTTTAGAGGCTGCATTACTGGGAAATCCCTCTGTGCCCAGCTGAGTTTGCTTGGGCAGGGCTGGAATTCCCTGGATTGCCACCTGCAGCACCCAGCCCTGGGCAGGATTTGGGGCTGGGGTCGGGATTTGGGATGTGAGGAGCCCCCAGAGAGGAAGCAGAAGAGAAGGAGGCTCCCAGGGCTGCTGAGGCTGGTCTGTGCTGGAATGGGACAAGGCACACACAGCTGGCTCCTGCTGCCCCCCGGGACTGCAGCTCCAGAGGAGAACTCTCCCCACTCACAGGCCTCTGTGGGGAAGAAAAGCAAATAAAAGCTGAAAAAGAAAGAGACCTTAACAGCGATTTAATGATTCGGGTTTAGATTCAGTGGCAAATCACCTCATTAACCCCTTAATTATTTCAAAGTTCTTTAAGGTGCCAAAAAGTCTCCAAACACCCAGACTTTGGCTCTCAAGGGAATGTTTTTTCTGTTAACAGTTCAAAATTCACACTAAAATTTGGATTTTAAAAACTCAGCGCTTGCTACTCAAATAATTACTGAAATGAATACATTCAAATAACTGCTCGTTATGAACCCAGCCTCCCTGAAAACTGCCTGGGACTTCTTAATGCAACGAGGAAAGAACCACAAATGAGTAAGAGAAAATCCTGGAAAACCAAGGAAAAGGGAATTTCTGTTCATTCTGTTAATTCCAGCAGCTGCCAGTGCCTCTCCACATGCCCAAGCTGAAAATTAAAATTAAACTGAGCAGACACAAAGCTCTGAGCACAGGACAAGTTCAGGGGCAGAGGATTTGGTTTTAGGTCCCAAACTGTTCCCACCTCAGGGAAATGGGAATAATCCCAGCAGGGGAATTCTGGAAAGGCTCTCCTGGGACTCCTCAGTCCTGCCCTGCAGGTTCCACTCTCCATCAGCAACTCAAAGTCTGAGTGGAGCTCCAAGCCTGGAAAGTGGGGATAAATGAAAATATTCCAAATATTCCAGAGGCTCCCAGTCAGCCAGCAGCACCTCTGGATCCCACCTGGGGATAAATGAATTCAAATATCCTGCTGCTCCCAGAGGAGAGGAATGAAGGCTGGGAAGACTTTTGGACTCTTTAATCTCTATAATGCTTTTAGAGCTTGGGTGAATACTG